GTTTAGGGGTGGGGTTCAGAAAGTCATGTATGAGGATGGCGCTATGTAGTTAATATAGAGTTGCCCCCCCCCCCCCCCCCCCCCCCCCCCCGGGGGGGTGGAGTGCAGAATTTAACAAACAAAATGGAACCCAGCAGAAAACGCAGAATCTCAATGAATTCACTCATTTGGGCGAGCAGGTAAAGCTTCAGAGGTATTTTGGCCGCTACTGCCCCATGCACCTGCCGTTACAGTCACGTGGGTGAACTCTCCTCTCCGCACAAACAGATTTTTATTTTATTTTTAATAAGTCATCCAGGCTGAAGAGGCTAACTGAAACAACACCATCCTCCAAAAAGTTAAAAAAATTGCAAAGATTAGCACAAAGTTTAGGGCAGAACACTACCCCAGTGATTTTTATGAATCTGGACAACAACTTTTCTGTAAGTTTTGTCAAGAGTTTTTTTTATGTGTAAAAATACACAAGATGACCACTTCCTGTCAAAGACTCATCAGCAATAAGCCAGACATTGCTGCCAACTCAACATTCAGCCACAGTAGGAGCAAGACGTGAGTTTATCTAAGATTTTGTTGCTCCGTGTGCAAAATCAGATATTCCTTTAGAGAAAAACTGAAACAGCAAAAATGAAAAAAAATGAGCCTAGATCCTATCTAAGAGGCAACTATGCACCACTTGTTACCATTTGTAGGTTTTGTTTCTTTATGAGACATTTAATGGTAAGTTCATCTCTAAATAAAATCTTTAATAAGGTGAGATTCTATGTTTTACACACATTTTTGCACTTAAAAAGCACAGGTAAATACTTTTAAATATCTTGCAAAAGCATTTAATGTTCTGCTGAACCACAGCTATTTGTTTTATTTGTGAAATTAAAACACTGTTAAACTTTTAATTCTGACTACTCATTTGTTACAGCTTTTTTTAGTCACTTTATATTTCTGCCTTTTTTAGGTTAATAAATGTGGTTAGAATCAGAATGTGGAATTAAGGAAAAAAAATTGAAAAAGCAGAATTTAGAAAAATAAAAAAAGAAGAATTGGGGGGGGGGTGTTAAACCTTTCATAGGGCCCCACAAAAAATGGACCCTAAACAATAACTGCTTACAATTCTAGTATTTTGTTGTCAATCTGTCAAACCCATTAGCTGACATAGAAAAACCATTGGTGAACTTTGGTCTTTATGTCAACAGGGGGAGACTTTCAGGCCACTGTTTAGAGCAGCTCATGTAAAAAATCTATCACTTGCTGCAGTTTATTCACAGAATGTTTCCATGTTTTATTCAGGACTGAGATGCAGCACATAATAAAACAGAGGCAACGATAACTTGAAAAGGGAGAGGAGGAGAGCATTATTATTGYGTACCCATATCCTGCAGGTCACTCCTGAAGTGTCCCCCCTCTGCTCCCTGGCTCGTCGCAGCATAWAGGTTCTCCATTGACTGTGAAGTGCAAAAATGATTCATTACTGACGTCAGGGCTTGTCAGCAGCTAACAGACACTTTCCCCTCTTCTTTACCCAAAGTGAAAATCACTGTCTGCATTTGAAACATTTTGAGAAACTGTAGGTAGTTGAAGGAATTTCTGTTTTTCTTTGACTCACTCTGCTCTTCTCAGTGGGCAGCAGGGAGAGCAGGGTGCTGCTGTCCACTTCTCCCATCAATAGTTCAGACACACTGAGGAGAAACACAGCAGAGATATCTTTTCAGCTCAGTATTTGAACACAAATTTAAAAAAGAGAAAGAGGATTAAACCTCTACAGAGCCAAAAGAAAGAAGTGATAAAGACTTAATTAAATCAAATTTCAGTTTTTATTTTTAAATGAAGTCAGAGTCTTAATAAACAAAAAACAAGCTAAACAATAAAATGGGTTCTTTATCTTTATGGCAGAAAACGAGTCAGGGGAAGAGTGGAGGAGGGAATGAGGAAACAGACTTGTCAAGCAGATTTTAACTGTCTGTCAGCTCACTTCCTCCTAAAACTGACAGTTTTTAAACACAACAGTGGCACAAACTGTTGCTGCAAATGAGTTATTTCAACAGAATGTCCTCACGGGTTCATCAGAAAAGATAGTCAAAGTGAGAAAGAAATAAAACTTAAGCTTTAAAAAAATAAAAACCTTTACAATTGACATTTAACATTTTTTATGTTTTTTTATCCTTCTGTCAAATAAAACAAATCAAGTGATTGTTCCCACAGTAGTCTGTCTCAATTTGTACGATTTGTTCGTTTAACTCATGGCAGGTACTCAACTGCAGGTACTCAACTGAATTTTCAAGTTTTGGTTTAGTGACGGAAGATAAAAACCACTTCCTGTTTTCAGCTTTGTCTCATGCAAATGTGTCACCATCACTACACTTCTCTCCCTTTCTCTCAACAGCAGAAACAACGTCTGACTGTGTGTGAAAAGCAGTATGTTACCCGTTTGGACACCATTACACAGCACAGGAACTGGAACATGACTGTTACATTAGCGCTGATGGATTGTTAAAAAAACATGTAAAAGTCTGCTGATTTAGTGGTTTTAAGGGAATGCTCCACCTCTATATCTCCTCTGACTTGTGGGGTCCCTCAAGGCTCTATTTTAAGTCCCTTGCTTTTTAGTTGCCTCAGTGGTCTTTTTTTTAAATAAAATACAAAACTTATTTTCCCTGTTTTGCTAATGACATTCAGGTTTAACTTCCCATTATGCCAGACTCTGTAAATCCACTCCAAYAACTCCTGAGCAGTCTAAAGGACATAATCTGGTTGAAATTGAATTTCCTAAATCTAAATGAAAKTAAGACTGAAGTCATCAGCTTTGGTAAATGTATTTTTCTTGACCATCTCAGTCCCTTGGCTTCATACAACTGCTCTGCTGTCACGAATCTGGGTGTCATTTTTTGGTAATGCCTTTAAATYGGAAAAACAGAGAAACGCAGCTGTGAATTTTTTTTCCCAATTAAGACATATCAAGGCGAAGTCATATCTCCCGAACAAAGACCTTAACAAAGTGATTCATGCTCTTATTACCGCTCAGTTAAGATTATTGTAATGATTGGTATGTTGGTTTAGATAAATCTTCTCTGCATCCCTTACAAGTTGTTCAGAATGCAGCATCTCATCTTTTAACAGGTGCATACATTATATGAACGTCTCTTGTTCTGACTTCTCCCCCATTGGCTTCCTGTTTGCTTTAGGATAGATTTTAAAATTTTACTGCTAATTTTTACATTTCTAAAAAGGTTTTTCACATTATACCTGTGTTCTCTTTCATTTCAGTCATCCAGTTTCTTTAAGATGTTCCTAGATCTAAACTAAAATTCAGAGGTGATTGGGCTTTCGCAGTTTCTGCCCAAACCTGTGGAACAGTTTACCTTTATGTATTTGGATTGCTGAGACTTAAGTCTACGCTTAGGACCTCTCGTTACTTCTTGGCTTTAGATTCTGACAAAGTTTGAGATTCTTTTAGATCTGATGTCTCTGTTGCATGTCTTTATATTTTTGAACACTTTTGTGAATGGTAAATGGTAAATGGTCTGTACTTGTATAGCACCATTCTACCCAACCAGGACACTCGAAGCGCTTCACACTTTAATCTGTGCCCTCATTTATCCATTCACACAGCACTCCACCAGATCTCCTACAAAGCTAACGTACAATCATCTATGGAGACTAATCAGTGCCAATCACATTCATACACTGATGGGACACACATCAGAGGCATTTGGGTTAAGTATCTTGCCCAAGGRCACAACAACTGAGACAGCTGGACGGGGGATCAAACCGGTGACCTTCCGGTTCCAGGACGACTCCCCTAACCACGCTGCCACAGCCACACCAACTAACTTCCTTAGTGTTGAAGATACTGCCATAAAATTTTAGGAAAAGATTCACATTCTGGTTTTTGTAGGAAGCATCTTGTATCCTAAAAAACTAATAAAATGTAATAATGCAAAGGTAGCAGAAAAGGTATAAAATAATATTACAAAGCAAACTGCAGCATCAAATAAACATGTGTTTGTTGTTTTATCCATTCATTTGGCTGATTTGAGAAGCAATTTGGGGAACTTCTGTTGTTTACATGGGTTGAAGTGAAAAGAAATCTTTTGACTGAAATATTTTTCATAACCAGAGTTGTTTTTTTCCCCCCTCCCTTACAGATGACGGAAATCCATCCTGGCCACGTTCAAAGTGATGGAAATCCGTCGTAGTGATGAAGCACTTTAAGCCCTGTCTTTATATATGCTAAATAAATAGAAATAGACAAGGTGAATCAATTACTTACTTGCCACTAAAAGCAACAGCAATAGTTTCAATCGCCTTCTCAAAGTCCTTCTTGTCTGTTTCATTACACGCCTCATAGTGGAAACCTGAAGAGAGCCCACATTAGAACTCTGAAAATTTACTGTCTTTTTGGCTTTCTGTGACTTTGGAAGTCCAAAAGCTCCTTTCCAGAACTGACTGACCTTTGACCTTAGATATGAGTTTCCCAGCAGCAGTGAGGATCTCCACAGTGTTGAGCAGAGGGTATGTGTTGATGACYTGACGCAGAACCCGCAGCACCTCTCCCAAACACTCGTGTGCTACAGGGCGCTGGCTCTCCTTTCCTGTGTGACACAAAAACACTGCTCATAAGATAACCCATGAAGGACACCAAAACACACTTCTGGCTTGTGTCTAAAACTGCACCAGGCACCTTCAAAATTTACATTTCAAATAATTTGTGTTAATAATCTTGACTAACAATATATAAAATAAAATCAACTTCATTTTATAAAGCGTTTTAAAAGGGGCAATATCATGTAAAAAATCAACTTTTTTGAGTTTTATATCATGTTATACTCTCATAAAAACATGCCCAAAGCCTTGCTCTGACTCATTCATGCATGTTTGAGAAATCCTGCAGTGTTTTTAGGAAGCCATGCAGAGGAGCAAAACGACAGGTGGGGACCAGAAACGCCCCTAGGATGTGTCTTTAAGCCAAACTTCCTCATGGCAGAG